TGTTTGCGCCTCTTGGGGAGCTGGGGCCTGTTGGAGGCCCCTGTGGGGGTCCTTGGTGCCTCTCGGGGGCCGTTTTGGGGCCGTCTTGGCCACCACATAGAATGCGGTCGTCGTCTTCGTCGTCGTCGTCGTCGGCGTCGGCGTCGTCGTCGTCTTCGTCGTCGTCGACGTCGGCGTCGTCGTCGTCGCCGCCGTCGTCGTCGTCGTCGTCGGCGTCGTGGACGTCGTCGTCGTCGTCGTCGTCGGTGTCGTCGTTGTCGTCGTCGTCGCCGCCGTCGTCGTTCGTCGTTGTCATCGTCGTCGTCGTCGTCGGCGTCGGCGTCGTCGTTGTCGGCGTCGTCGTAGTCGTCGTCGTTGTCGGCGTCGTCGAAGTCGTTGGAGACTTCGTCGGTGTCGTCGTAGTCGTTGTCGGCGGCGTCGTCGTCGTCGTTGTCGCTGTCGTCGTCGGCGTCGCTGTCGTTGCCAAGTGCCATTTGGTACCCACCGTCACGGTCTTAAGAGATTTTGCAAACCAAGTTGCGGGTGGGTGGGTGGGATGTTTGCGCGAGCAGTGGAGTGGACAACGCATTCCGAACAGAAATTCAATGCACCGCATAGATTGGACCGCATAGATTGCATTCCATAGGTTGCATCCTCTTGGGTCGTCTTGGGGCCCTCTTGGTCCGCCGTGGGGGCCTCTTGAGTGCCTCTTGGGCCGTCTTGGGGCAATCTGGGGGGCGTCTTGGGCTGTCTTTGAGCGCGGGAAGGCGAGACGCTGTTGATGCTGAAGACGTACGTTTTACCTAGAGACTTCGACGATTTTGGCCTCTTGGGGCTCCCTTGGGAGGCCTCTCGGGGTGTCTTGGGGGCTGTTTGGGCGTCTCGTGGGGCCTTTTTGGGGTCTCCTGGGGGCCTCTGTGTGGGTCCTTGGTCCGTTTTGGGCGCCTCTTGGGCTGTCTTCGGGCCCTCTTGGGCCGCCGTGGGGGCCTCTTGAGTGCCTCTTGGGCCGTCTTGGGGCAATCTGGGGGGCGTCTTGGGCCGTCTGGGTGCGTCGGGAAGGCGAGAAGTTGTTGATGCACGGTTTACAAATCGATTTGGCGATTTTGGCCTCTTGGGGGTTCCTGGGAGGCCTCTTGGGATGTCTTGGGGCGAGAAGGGGCCCTCTGGGACTGTCTTAGGGCCATGGGCGTCTCGCAGCCCTCTTCTTAGCCCAGCTTGGGGCCATCTGGAAGCCATCAGGAGCCGTATTGAGCCCTCCAGGCGCGCTCTGGACCCGGCGGCCCCCAGCGGGACGCAGGTCTAGCCGGATCAGTTTTCGCAAAGCTACATGTGACGGGGAACCGGACCCGGGGACCCCGAGGCCGCGACCCCGACCGCAAATGGGTGTGCCAGGGGCCCCAGGGGGGCTCCCTGGGCGCCGGGGGCCCTTTAAGATCGCCCGAAAACGGCCCCGGACTGTCAGAAATCGCTTTCCCGGACTGCCAAAACGACCAATGACGGTAGAGATGACACCAGAATTAGCCCCAGAGTTTTCAAGAGGCCTCTCAGACGCCCCAAGAAGGAAGAAGCCTCCAAGAGGCCTCCCAAGAGCGCCTTCAGAGGCAACAATCGCTGATTTTCAAAAGGTTTTTGAAGGATTTTCGAGTTCTCGCCTTCTCAGTTTCCCGACGCTCCACGACGGCCCGAGAGGCCCCCAATGTCCGCTCCAACACAGCCCAAGAGGTCTCCAAGAAAGCCCCCAGACGGCCCAAGAGGGCCCCGAAACGGCGCCCGTGGCGTCCAAGACGGCCCAAGAGCGTTCCAGGACGGCCCCAATAAGGGCACAGGAGGGGTAACCTGAACCGACAATCCGAGCTTCCACCTCGAAGGGCTCCCTGGAGGGCCCAAGAGGCCCCCAAGAGGCCTCCCAAGAGCGCAGACAACAATCGCTGATTTGCCTCAGGTTTTTGAAGGCTTTTCGAGTTTTCGCCTTTTCAGTTCCCCGATGCTTCAAGACAGCCCCAGAGGCCCCCAAGACCGCTCGAAGACACATGAATAAGCCTCCAAGAGAGCCCCAAGACGGCCCAAGAAGGCCCCAAGAGAGTCCCTGAGACGCCCAAGACGGCACGAGAGGGCCCCAAGACGGCTCCAAGACATGCCCAAGAAGAGGAACGCGAAGCCAGAAGTGTCCGGAGGGTCGTAGTTCTTGAGACGCCCAAGACAGCCTGAGAGGGCCCCAAGGCGGCTCCAAGACAGGCCCAAGAAGGGGAACGCGTACCCAGAAGTGCCCGGAGCTTGAAGACGCCTCCAGAGACGCTCAAGACAGCCCCAGAGGGCCCCAGGAGAACTTCCAGAACGCCTCCGACAAGCCAAAACCCTTCCAAAAGGAAATCAGTGACTTTCGCCTTCTCGCCTTGTCGCTCCGATGGGCTGCTGAGACCTCACGATCGCTCCCAAGAGGCCCCCAGGAGGCTCCAAGACGCCCCACAAAGCCCTTCAGACGCTCGAAGAGTCCCCAAGACGCCCCCGAGAGGCCCCCTAAGAAACCCTCACAACTTGCGGGTGGCTCCTGACGTTGCATCTGTGCATACGCATCTGCACGCAACTGTGAGATTGTCACGGGTTGGAGCTGGCTAGAACCTAAGCGCGCGCGAAGCGCGCGCGTGGTTCGAGCACAAGTGTTTAGAATGACTGTGCGCGGCGCTAAGGCGAGAGTCACATTTCGAAAAGGAACCGCCCTCAATCCGTGAAGCTCGCGCAACTGCTTAAAACGAGTGTGCGCGGCGCTAAGGCGAGAGCCACATTTTGGATACCACCCACCCTCAATCAGTGAAACACTTGCAATCTGTTGCAACGAATGTGTGCGGCGCTAAGGCGAGAGCCACATTTTGAAAACGACCCGCCCTCAATCCATGAAGCTCTTGCGAATGTTTAAGACGAGCGCACGCGGCGCTAAGGCGAGAGCCACATTTTGAAAACGACCCTCCACCAATCCTTGAAGCTCTTGCAACATCAAAAACGAATGTACGCGGCGCTCATGCGAGGACCACATTTTGAGAGCGACCCGCCCTCCGTTTGTGAAACTGTTGTCACTTCTTGAGCTTCAGAACCATAGATGGTGAGGAAGTCTCAGGCGAAGCGCACGGCCCGCCCTAAAAAAATTGCCTCGGGGTGCGACAGGGTGGATAAGGGGAAGGAATGGAGGAGGAGGAGGAGGAGGAGGAGGAGGAGGAGGAGGAGGAGGAGGAGGAGGAGGAGGAGGAGGAGGAGGGGGAGACGCCGAAGATAGGCGGCAGCGCAAAGCCAGCACCAGCGAGTGAGAGAGGCCAGGGGAGCACTGGCGAGGAATAAGAAAATATTGATGATGAGGATGAAGTGATGGAGGCGACGAAGAGCCGGGCGGGCGGCGGCGAGGGCCCGACCGGTGGCTCGTTGAGGAGGCGGGGGGAAGTGGCGGATGGCCGTGGAGGGCTCCTCCGAGGTTTCGTCTGTGGCTCTTCAGGGGCCATTTTGCAAGCCCCTCGGCGCACCCTGGCGGCCACCCAGCCTTTTTGCCAGGGTCCGCTAGGGTGCGCGCTGGACGCTCCGTCTCCCCTGTACGCCGTGCGCTCGGCCAACCGAATTCGCAGCCGTCAGGAGCAGGAGGGAGATGAGCAGCAGCAGCAGCAACGGCGGCGGCGGCGGCGACGGCGGCGGCGGCGGCGGCTGCGGCAGCAGCAGCAGCAGCAGCAGCAGCAGCAGCAGCAGCAGCAGCAACAGCAACAGCAGCAGCAGCAGCAGCAGCAGCAGCAGCAGCAGTAGCAGCAGCAGCAGCGGGAAGACGAGGCGGACGGCAGGCGCACCTGCTCCCGTCTGGCAGCGCAGCGCGCGATCCGACGCTTTTCCTGGTGACGGGGGGCTACCTGCGCGGGGGCTACCACGAGGAGAGCCCGGACTGGTCGGGCCCCCCCACGCTACCCGCGCGGGAATTGGCAAGCGGTGGCGGGGTGTGGGTGGGTGGGGGGGGGGCAGGAGGAAAAGGGCGAGGAGGGGTATGAAGAGGAGGGGGGACGAGAGGAAACGGGGGTAGGAGGAGAAGGAGGACGGAAGGGATGAGGAGGATGGGTCGGAGCAAAATATGCAAGGGTAGCAGTTGGAAGGGGGTATTGGGGATGGTTTGCTCGAGAACAATGTTGCCGCATGGGCACCAGCGCGCGCTGGTTAATGGGACCACGTGTTGGTTGCCCACCTGAGGCACGGTGCACTCCAGGAGGCAAAGGAAAGAGGTGGAGGAGGAGGAGGAGGATGACGAGGACGAGGACGAAGAGCAAGATGAAGAGGAGGAGGAGGAGGAGGAGGAGGAAGAGGAGGAAGGGGATGCTGAGAAGGTTTGGGAAGAGAGCGCAGACGTACGGCGTACTTCAGAGAGAGCCTCGCCTTCGGTGCGTCCTCGCCCTCGGCGGCAGCGAGCCGCTGGAAGCAAACCGACGGCGGGCTCGCCAGCGGAAGGCCGGCAGACGCCCGCGAAAGCAAGCGTGAAATTCGACCGTTTGTTGAGTCCTGGTTCCCAGAGTCGGCTATACGCTCGACTATACCTAAATGTGACCCTTCGCTCGGAGCACGCAGTCTATCAGGTGATGCAGTCGGCTGACCATGGTGATTTTTGCACATTTTTGCGAACTTACAGGGGGCGCCGAGTTGCAGCCCAGGCCTCTTCTCCGATTCTCGCAAGTTGTTTCCCCACTGGAATCAGCACTTGTGCCCGCGGTCCTGCCCCCCCTACTCCAGGCGAAAGTCTTTGTCGATTCTGGCGTTTTTGGGGGGATTGGCGAATCTGTTCCAATGCGTTTTCGATTGGTGTATTTTTTTCTGGTGTGTTTTCCCTGCAACATTTGACCAACATATATACACCCATCCGCCAGGGCAGGTTTCGCGCCTTATTGGTGAATATTTCGAGGGCGGTTTTCCGGCCCGCGCTGTCATTGCCCGCCCGTCTTGTCAGAGCCGCTTCACGCGGGGTGCCGTGCCCTGTTGCTTTTCCCAACGTATCTGTAGGATCCCTTGCGCAGTGCAGCGCGTTTCACCTTCGTTACCTGCCCGCGCTGGCACCTTGAAAGCTGCAGATCCGCATGAATGTGGCGTGTGCATTCTTGCATTGTTCCAGCGAGACGCCTTACCGGATATACTTCACATTCGCCGGAATGACATTTGGTGCAGGCTCATCGGTGTCCACCCATCGCTAAGTGCGATGCGTCAGCGCCGACTTGCGCGCTTGGATTTGGCCACTTTGCGCCCCTTAGCCCGGGCACCAAAGGCCATTCTTAATTGCCCAGGGTCCCTCCCGTGTAGTCGATATGCACCCATCGGCTCCCGACATCCGTGTCGCTTTTCGTTGTTCCAGGTGTCGAACGTGCTAGGATGAGGATACGGCCGTTTCAGAGCGTTCCACGGCGCTCTCAGAGCGTTCCCGAAAGCTCTGAGACTCTCTGGGAAGGCCGCGCCGCCCGAGACATCCTCCAGAGCCGCCGGATCTCAGGGATTCTCGATGCGTCCTCACTCGAGTTCATCCTCGCCCTAGCTTCGCCTCGAAAGGGGGGGGGGGCATGGCGCTGGAGGTCGCTGGGCATCGTGTTCGCCAAGCCTGCCTTCGCCCCCGCGCCTCGGAGCGGCAGTGGCGGCGGGCTCTCGGAGGACGCGCCGCCTGCGCCGCGGCACTGCTGCCCGAGCACTCCCGTTGGCGCTGCCCGCTGCTGCTCGTCTCGGGGGCTCCCAGACGGCGTGGTGATCACACCGCGTGCCCAGACCTCTTCGAGCCATCACGAGAAGATCACGACGGGCGGTTTTCTGTATTTTCGGGCTCTGGGCCTCGGGACCGTCAAAAACCGAGTCAGAGTAAAACATGGTCCCAGTGAACAGGTCGAAACCTCCGGGGGTCGACTTCATGAAAAAATCATGACGTCGGGGGTCTGGGTCAGTGGTGAGTTAGTGGGGCTTCGGGGTCACCTCGTGGCGGGTGGCTCTTCTCTCCCGTCCCCTGGCCTTGCCTGTCTGCTTGCGATTGCTTCCCCTCTATTTCTCGTCGTCGTCTCCCTCCCTTTCCTCCTGCCCCCTGCCTGATGTCTTCGCCTGGCCCCATCCCGCCTGCCCGCCCGGCCCGCCAGCCCCAGCCTCCCGCCTGCGCGTTCGTCGTCGTTTGCCTGCTTCTCCCCTTTTCCCCCCCCCCGCCAGACGGCACGGCCAGCCCTGAACTATAGCCAGCGGCGCGACGTGGAGTCCCCTTTCTCAATTGGGAAGCTGGCGCTTTTCATGAGACCTCGGCGTCACGCGGTGTTGGGACTTGAGTCCTTCTCCGAGGATGTCTCGGTGACGGACCGCGTGGTGAGGTCGTCGGGGATTCCGAGGTCACCACGCGGTCCGTCACCACGCAGCCTTTGAGCCCCGAATCGTCACCCTCCTTCTCAGACCAGTCGGAAGCGGGTCCTATTACCTACAGTCAAGCGGGGGCAATAAGGACGAGTAACTTGGCCACCCTGCGTCCATCCTAGCCCCCAGCCGTGGGCCATTAGCTTCCAACTTCGGCTCCTTGCCACGAATGCTCATGATCCCGTCGACTGTATGTCCTGCTGTCCTCGCCGCGACAACCCCGCCCGTTGCCCGCTGCCGTTCAAGCAGCGGCATGTCTGTAATTTCGGTGTGATTTTCCAGCCCTCCTGTGAGCTGGGTCCTCGTTTTGAATCGGCAGCGCCGCGTGTCTCCTCCTTCCTTCCTCATCCTGCCCCTCTTCTTTCTCCTCCTCCTCCTCCTCAATTTGCGACCGTTTTACCCCAGGGGCGAAAACAAACAAGCTGAGAAGATGGGGGGGAATTCCCAAGCTCAACAAACCTCGGGCATTCAATTATATAGTATATGACGTACGCGATCGCCACCTGCGGTACCGCAGGCAACACACGGGTGTGCTCGTCTCGATGGTTGTATACTTCGATGTTTGCTTCCAAAAATCATACTGTCCGTTTTAGCCCACCGTCGAATTTGATCGTCGTCGCACGGGCTCGTCTGCAGCAGGTAGCCCGCAGGAAGGCAGGTCTGGCGGAGCTGCTCGGCTGCCCGCCCGAGCCGCCCATGCTGCTCGGCCAGGCGTGCGGGGACGGGGGGATCTTGCCAAGGTAGTAAATTAGGGTCGGTTCGGCCTAATTCATTGCTTTCTCTAACCCAGTGCACTCCTCGTCCTCCTCCTCCTCCTCCTCCTCCTCCTCCTCCTCCTTCTCCTCCTCCTCCTCCTCCTCCTCCTCCCTCGATGTTCACTGCCATTTTCGCTCAAGTGGCCAGCAGGGGCACCATTTGAGGGCAGCTCCCTTCTGAGGGCAACCTGGGTGTCGAGCCCAAGCGGCCGCCAGTCTGTGTATAGCACCCTAGATTCTGCCATGGAGTTGGCACCCCAAGCCCTTAGACAAATTCGAGCTTTACTGAACTCCGAGAATCCTGCCATCCACACGGAGTTGCAGAAGGTGGCCAGCAAAGAGAGATCGTTTGACGAGCGCTTCGAGGCCAAGATCGTCGAGATGAAGTTTGAGTAATCAGGAGATTCGAGTGGAGTTCCAGGCGCCGCGTGTTCATGTATGGAATACCGTTGGTTCCGCGGGTTCTGCGACACGCATTGGCGCGGAGGGAGTGGAGGAAGATTGTGGTGAAGGATCTATCCGTACGCCTCGATTTGCTCTTGCCGCCGCGGCTGAATTCGATGCCAGGCTGACCGGCGTGGAAAGTCCATCACCGACAACGTCAAGGCAGCCATCTCTACCCAGGGTCCATAATATCGACGACGCCTGGGTCTGATCTCGATCCGTTGAATTCTCTTAGAGGGGCCAGCCTTGGGAAACGCACTCGTGAAGGAGTTCCCTTTCCTGGGCCCGCGTTCGCAGACGCTCAACCGCTGCGGCGCTCTCACGGTGGCTTTGCTGCAGGTGGGCAGCCGCTGCGACAGGGCGAACACGGACCTTGTGCCAAGGTATAAACTCGTGTTTCCCACGGAAGTTGCCCTCCCGATTGTGCCATCAGCGCTTGGATTCTCGACGGGCCCAAACCTCAGTGCCAGGCTATGGCGTATCCATCCCAAGTGAAGATGTCGCTCGCGCCTGTTCCTCTTGGGGCGAGGGCGCGGCCAGCCAAGCCCAGCTCGCGCGGGGGATGGCCCGGGGACTGGGCAAGGCGTGCTGTTGAGAACCGTTGCGAATCAACCTCTTCGATTTTGCTGCAGAGGTTTCGCTACTGGCAAATGCTGGAGCTCATGTGCAATATGCTCACGTACCGTCGTTTCTTCTTTCAACGCTCCCACCAGTTCGGTTCCACGCAACTCTCGCGCCATCTTTCTGCATCCGACTTGCCCCAACGAAGAGGAAACTATGGGCTCATCCGGATGAGTCCTGCTTCCCACTTTGGTGGGGGAAAGGACAGCCTGGTCAAATCCGCCCCGACGATGCTACACATTCAAAATACCAGCCGACAGGGGCCCTCTTGACGACGTCCCGAAGCAGCGCGGGCAAGCTAATCAGCTCGCATGTGCCTCTTCGGCGCAAGCTTCGGCGACGTCGGCGTTCTTCCAACTCTTCTTCGGATTGCGGATCGTATTCGGGTTCCGCTGCCTGTATTTCAAAGCAGATAGTTGCTCCGAGTCCCCCCTGAGCGCGCGCGACGTCGGCCCCGCGCCTGGCGCCGACAGAGCAGTGAAGTCCCGAGCCGCCCTTCTCGTTTTGTTGCATGAGAGTTGGGTGGCTGCAACCGCCCTGGCGTATGTCTGGCGATTTGTTCCTTTGCCCCGTGGGTCACTGTTGCTCTCCGTGGAAGTGCGGGCGGCGATCGCGCCCGTCAGCACAAGGAACGCGTTCGTCTCGGGCAATTGTTCTGGCGGCGTCAGGCAATTATCTTGCGCTGATCTTGCGGTGCGCTTGCTGACCCCGTCGCTTCAGATAGAGAGAGCACCCCGCACGTGACCGCACATGTTCGGTTTGCTGATATCTCGGTTCGGGGGGGGCGGGGTGGGGGCGGCGGCGCGCGCGCGCGGGGCGCGGGGGGGAGAGAGAGGGCGTCGCAGTGGACATCGCCCACCCCCTCCTGCAGCCCTTAATTCCCCACCGATGTCGGTCCGTTATGGCCAGTGGATGTGGGGTCGCCCACTTGAAAGGGGCATCCGGCGCAATGTCTGCTCGAAAGGGTCATTTGGATCCTCTGATTAGCTCTCCTGTCCTCTACGCGCTCGCCATTTCGTCCAACTGTTCGCGCGAGCTTCCCCCCTTCGAGCCTCAGCGCTGAGTCTAGCGGGAGTGTGTTGGGACTCCCGCGAAATCGGGGTATCCAGATAGAGTGGGTCGGTGCTAGGCTCGTCGGGCCCCGCCGCCAGATGTAGCCGATCCCAGGGAACCCCATATTCGGGAACGCCCGGCGGCGTCGGCGGCCAGGCGGAAGGCGGCCAATCCCGATCCCAGGAAGCTCATGGCTTGGGGGGGGCACCTCGCGACGCAGCGGGCTGCGCGAGTGGGAAAACAGATGCCGGCAGCAGGCCGCGAGGCGAAGGCCGCGCACTTTTCACCATGCCAGGCGACCAGAAATACGTCCTCTGAGAGAGTCTCCTGGGCCCAGTACCGAGAGGTGCTCTCCCATCGTGCGCTCCCATCGCGCGCGAAGGACGCGTGCGCCCTCAAACTTGACGAGCAGGCAGCGGTGCAGGTAGGCTCCGATTTCTCGATTGGACTGTGATGGTAGAGGTGTTTTTTTGGTTGTCTGCGCAATGTTAGAGATCCACCCGAAGGATCGGCATATAGTTTCAAGGTCGGGCCCAGTTTCGAGAGCTCGGGAAAAGACCTGGGGCCGTTTCTGCTAGAGATCTCGTGGCCCACTGGCGGGCTACCGTGGGTTTTCTGCTGTCGGACGTGGAGGGCATTCTCAGCGATTGTCCGACGCGCCGGCCCAGAGAGCATTGAAGCGCTTTCGGGACATGACCGCCTCTGTCCCCGTCTCGCCTCATCTGCCACTGAGCGCCGAGTGAGGAGCGGACTGGGCTTGAGGCCTCGGGGCCCGCAAGTGCACCCCGGACCAGACCATCGCTGATTTTCAGGCCAGGGCCAGGCACAACTCTGTCAGGGCCCAGCGATCAGGGCCACGGTCAGCGTTTTGACGAATTCCACGAGGGGTTACGCAGCGGGATCGCGCTGGAGGCCGCGGGCCGTGCAACCGAATTAAGGATGAGATTGCGCGTTCGGAAGCGGCTGTAGACTCTTTCCAGAGGATGGCTGTGAAGGCCCATATCTGGAGCAGTAAGTGGGCAGGCGGCAGCAGCAGTCTCCCCGACGTCCGAGCCTCGTGGCTTACGGCCCAGAACTGGGCTGAGCAAAACCAGGGGCCCCTGTCAGCGCGGACATGGTTCGACGCGTTATTCCGGCCCTTCCTGAGAACCTCCCAGGGGTAGACGGGCCGTCAAAAAAAATCTCAGTGGTTGACGCTTGTGGGCCTACAGCAGCTGACCGACTTTCACACGCTAGTTGAGCAGAAGGTTTGTTGGCCTTGGTCGGCCCTCGCTGTCCCACACGTTTCGTCGCCCCCATTGGGAACTCCACCGAAGGCTCAAATGCCAGCGCTGGCATTCGCCCACCGCGCCCGTTTTGGCACACCTCTGCACGCGTTCCGTGGCCCCAGAGGGA